TTCGAAGCCTCTTGGAGAGTCTTGGAACCGATACGACCAACCGATAAACGATAGAGGAACTAGGCGATAGTTTGTTTACTCGATAATTCTACGTTTTACAATAAGCTTTATTAACCGCGTTACGCTACGCATTTTATTAATCCACCTACGCCCACGTTTCGTTTCGTTTCGTTTCGTTTCGTTTCGTTTCGTTTCGTCCTTCCGTTTCACAATTCACCCTAGAGGCGCATATATATACGTCCCAGCTGCAACGAGAAGGGGATGATGCATCATCGCGTGTATCCTGTCGCTGCCTGACGAGACCCACTCTCCACTCTCCTCGCACTTATTAGATACGTTACTCGCTATTACGAATTGCGTAAGCCTCGAGAATATCGATAGTCTAATAATATGCGTTATATTCGCTTGTTCCTTGCCCATCACCGCTCTCGCATTCTCGTTTTTCCCGTTGTTCCCCGTCGGTTTCGGATACATTCCCCGCTATTTCCTCTCCGATGTAGGTCCGTGTGAAAGTGTTTTCTCCTCCTCCAATTCGCCATAGAGAAACCGGGGAACCGCGGTGTATTGGCAAACTCGGTCCCGCCAATTTTAGATGCTTCGCCTTCTTTTTTTCCCTCTGCTTCCTCTCCGCCACTGCTGTTCGTTGCTTCGTCCACGTATGCTCCTCGTCCTCCTCCTCCTCCTCCTCCTCCTCCTCCTCCTCTTCTTCTTCTTCTTCTCGTTCTCTCGCGCGAGTTGCCATTTTATTTTCACGAGTGCGCCCGCTATTTTTGGCCGTTCTAGAAAACCCGCCTGTCCTTTTTCCGGGTCTTGGCAACGAGGTACGGGAGGCGATCGCGTACGAACGAAACGCCGCTCGCGCGAATTTATTCTTATGCATGACTATACGAAAAATATCGCGTGGAAAGCGCAACTGGCAAAAAGCCGGCCCCGAAACGAGTTGCAATTTTTGATTTTTCGCCTCGACTCGTCGCCCCGACCAGAGAATCGAAACGCGTTATCATAGACGCGTGGCGTCGTCCCGAACCGAGTTTGCCAAAACATCGACATTTCCCCGCGCATCCCCATTTACTTTTATATAATAATTCATTTCGAGATCTCTGAGCTTTCTTCTCGTGACGCGTTGAGAGATTTCGCGAATTGGGAGGGTGAACAGCGCGGCGTCACCGAAAATATTCAATTCGATATGTTTGAAGGGGTGGAGAGTAGCGGGGTGGAAAATTTATTTTACGCATTGTGTAAATAACACACACACGCAACACGCGGGTTGCAAAGCGTGTTGCGCACTGATATAATGCGTGTGTGCGTATGTGTGCGTGTGCAGTCCCATCAGAATTGTGAGTATTGATCGTTTCATAGTAAATATATAGTTTGCACTAGCGCGTCCTAGTGTATCCTAATATGTCGATAAATATGGCGGGTATAGTGTCCATCGGATGATGACTATCGGCAAAAGTGGGTATTTCGTTTCTTCTTGTTCGTTGTGCGAGCGAGGGGAGCGAAAGGAGGGTCAATGACCTCACGGGAAATCGATCGAGTCGAGATCAGAAAGGACGAGGGTCAACGTAGAAATTCAACGATTTCGACTAATAACGAGAATCGCGCGACAATCCCGCGAGTTTATCCATTATCGAAATAAAGAGATAAAAAAAAAAAAAAAAAAAACGTAACGACGATTAGAGTCTAGTCGAGTCGAGTTCCCCTTCGATCCGCTCGACGAGATCATCGTAGGAGAGCGCGGCGAAAATCTAAGTTCCTAACTCGGGGAAAGAAAAATTATGAATTCTCGCGATCGTATCGAATACTGGGAAAAAAATGAACGCGATGAAGGGAAGAGAAGAATATTTAAAATCGTTGGAATCGAGTCGAAAAATTTTCCGATTCTACGCGGGGAAAAAAGTGTAATTTCTCCGCGTTAGGAAATTCTTGATTCTTTATCTCGTCTCGGCGCGAGTGACGAGATTTCCGTGACGCATTCTTCGACGCCCGGATAGAACCGATAGAAACCAATTCTCTGATCGCTCCTTCGACTCAAGTAAATCCGCACAAGTAAATCGAATGTGTGTATACGTGCATATCGTCCGTTCCCGTTTATTCCGCAAGAAAATTCGCGAAAGAGATAAAAAAGAAGAGAGAGAGAGAGAGAGAGAGAGAGGGGAAGTAGAAGTCGAAACGAAGCGAGGCGGGAACGCGAACGAGAGGCGAAAGGACAAAGAAAGAAAGAGAGAGAGAGAGAGAGAGAGAGAGAGAGACACCAAGCTTCGAAAATTCGAAAATTCAGCAAATAGCCGGGAAAACTGGGAACGACGCGTGCAAGTAGACACGTATATACGCGTACATAGACGAGAGCGAGAGCTAGCACGACGAGATGCGTTTCCCCCTGCGCTGCAAGCGCGAGGGGTTCGCGATCGAAAGGCAGGGATCGAGGAAATCTCTTTTTTGTCGCGCAAAACGTTGGCGCGTATTGGCCGGCCGTTGCGTTTCGTATCCGCGTATTTTCGGACGATCTTCTCCTCTGTCGGTCGCGTGAGAACACGAGGGAGAGAGTGAGAGGGAGGAGGAGGCACACGCGTCTCCTCTCTCTCTCTCTCTCCACCCTTCCCCCTTTTCCCAGAGCTTTCTCCTTCTCTGTCGGTCGCCCCTCGGCAACACTCGCGCGCGTCTCTGCGGAACGGGAGGCAACGGACCAGCGTTTAATGTAAATCGCCACGCACGGGCAGCGCGCGCGAGAGTAAGAGGGATGATGCTGTGGAGCGCATAGGAGGGTAGGGTGGATCGACGACGAGAGAGGGCAACGACGCGAGGGACGAGGAGAAGCATACATATGTATGGGTAAATGTATACCTACGCCCGCATCACGCTCTCTCTCTCTCTCTCTCTCTCTCTCTCCCTTTCTCTTCCTCCCACCGCATCTTTCTCTCCGTCCGGCCCTCTTTCTCCCTTCCTCTCGCATCTCTTTCACTGGATACTTCCATCCCGTTCGTCGCTCACTCCGTTCCTCTCTTTCGTTCCAGCTCCATCCCTTTCGCGCTTCGACCGCGTTCGATCGCCTCCGCTCCCTCTCTCTTCGACCTTTCTCGTTTCACCCGCGCGCCTCTCTCTCTCTCTCTCTCTCTCTCTCTCTCTCTGTCTCTCCTCGTTCCCTCTCCGTTCTTTCGCGTGACCGTTCCGTGGACGTAGCCGCGCGCACGTTCCTCTTTCTTTTTTCTCCCTTTCTCCCGTCCTTTTTCTCTCCCCCTTCCACCCTTCCCTTTTTTCTCTTTCCTCCACACTCTTCGCCCCTTCTCGTTTTTTTTCCCTCCCCTCGCGTTACGCCCCCGAGCCGACGAGTGATTTTTATAATCTGCTACTTGTTGCGCGGAACACGAGAGCGGGCGGCGTGCGGCCCGCCCGGAAAAACCGGAAAATAGAGGAAAACAAAAGCGGGCCGGCGGGCAAGCGCGGAGAGAGCGGCTGCAGAGAGTCCACAGAGGAATCGAATCGGGGTGGCCGGCCTGGGCAATGGGGCGGAGGGGACGGGAGGGGGAGGGAAAAAAGAAAAAGGCACCGCGGGACCAGCCGGCGGATTATTCGCGTTGCTGCGTGCGCGTACGCGCTCTATTCTCTCCGCTCCGTTTCTGTCCCGCGCCCGCCCATACCCTTTCGAAACGCTTCCCTTTATTCCTCTCTCTCTCTCTCTCTCTCTCTCTCTTTCTTCTTTTTCTCTTCTTCCCTTCCTTCTCTCCTCTTCCTTCGTCTCCTCTTTCTTTCTCGCGCGAGGACATCCCGGCGATCGGATGAAACTCTCTTTCGCTTTCCGACGGAGATTCTCCTCTTCCTCCCTCCCCCCTGAAGAAGTTTAGACAAAGAGAGAGAGAGAGAGAGAGAGAGAGAGAGAGAGAGGGAAGGAGGAAAAAGCGAAATTGGAAGTTGAAACGGTGCGGAAGAAAGGGAGGAAGAGGAGGAGGAGGAGGAGAAGGAGGAGGAGGAGGAGGAGGAGAGGCGGGAAGAAGTCGGAGCGTGGAAGAAAGAGCGTGGAGGTCTCTCGAGGAGGCCGAGTGGCGAGCAAAATGGCTTCCTCCTTTTCAGGAATTATCGCGATGTAGGAAGTCTGGGCGGGTGGGGGCACGGTGGAGAGGAGGGGGAGGTGGAGGTGGCCGCTGTCGGCCGAAAGTTTAAAATAGAATATCTCGCGAGTAACTTTCATCGGTCGTCAAAAAATCATGCAGCGTCGTGCAGCCTAGCGGGGGGCTCGGCCTCCCACCCACCGCGTCGGTGGGAAGCGGAGGGAGGCGGTGGGATAGGGGAGCGAGCGAGGGCAGCGAAGGAAGCGAAGAGAAGAGGGCAGCCCCCCTCCTCCTCCTCCTCCTCCCCCCTCCTACCCGCCGAGCTCTAGGATAGGGCACGCGGTGAAAACGGCGCGGCGCAACGTACCCGGACACACATGCATCGGCGAGTGAACGCTCGCGCGGCGCCGTTTCGCGAGAATTTACCGCCGGCAACGCTCGCAGGCCCAGGCAGGAAGTTCTCGGCGCGGCCGAGGAAAGATATTTCAGAGCTTTTGTTGATCGCGCCGCCTTCCGATTCCGTATTAGGAATTACCCTCGCCTCCCCCTCTTTCTCCTCCTCCTCCGGGTTGAAACGCGCAGACGCGCGTGCCAGAACGGCAGAGTCGCGCGTTCGAAAATTTTCGATCGCGTTCGAGAAAGGGAGGAGAGGGGAGGAGGAAGGGAAATCGTTCGATCGACGAGTTTTGGAAGGGGGAGGAAGGAAAAGAAAGGAAAGAAACTCGATGAGAATTGGGAGAGGAAGAAAAGGGCGAGGATCTCCGTTCCTCTATCTGGTCGCCGATTCACCATTCGCTCAGTCAGTCGCTCGGTACGCGTAGCGTGCACGAAGAAGAAGAGCTCTGATTTTCACTCTCCACGCCAATGAATGACGTAGCGAGAAGATACACCGGTGCGGTGGAGGCGGCGGTGGCGGTGGCGGTGGCGGTGGCGGCGGTCGGCGCGATCCGCTCGCTCATATTCGCTAGAGCTCGCGCTCGCCTAGGCCCGCGCGCGCGAGTAGAGTACACACGGTGCGGATCGGGGGCGCATGCGCAGACGCGTTGCGCGGCGCGACTCGACTCGACTCGCCTCGGCCCGACTTCTCGTCGGCTCGCCTCCTCCGTGGCTCGCCTCCTCCCCGCCGCCAAGGTGCATGCATGCATTCTATGCGGCGTGCACCGCATTAGATGCATTTCTAAGTCGCGCCGCAATAAATCGCAGAAATATCGAAGTGGAGAGAGAGCCGCGCGAGAGGACACCGCGACATCACGACATCCGCGCCACGAGATCCGCGCCGATTTCTTTCTTCTTTTTTCAATCCGGAGGAGGAGCAACGGGGGACACGAGGCGAACACGCACGCACGCACGCACGCACGCACGCACTCACACGCCCGTCCGAGGAAGGAAGGACGGACCCCCGCCGCACAGATAGAGACGGGCCACCGCGCGCTCGATTTACCTAGAAATCCGATTAATCTGGTGCGCGGACGAGGGACGAGGGCACGACGCGTCTCTTCCTCTCCCGCGGAGAAGAGGCGAACGCCACTCTCGTCTCCGCTTCTCGTTCTCTCGCTACTCTCGTGGAGAAGATCCTGGGGCAAGGGAAGGAAGATCGGCCACGCATCGTCGTACGTTTCGGCCAACGACCAACGACGCGCTCTCTCCTCTCTCGCTCTCCCTCCCTCCCTCCCTCCCTCTCTCTCTCTCTCTCCGCGAGATCCGTTCGCGAGATCGATTCGCGTACACGCACGTGCGAAACTGGTGGTGACGTCTTTCGACGCGTATCCCGTAAATCCCTCTCTCGCTTTGGAGATCGGTGGTGGTGGGGATACAGGGGGGTAACACGGTGGAGAAAAACCATTTCTTTCCTCTCTCTCTCTCTTTTTCTCTATCTATCTATCTATCTATCTATCTCTCTCTCTCTCTTCCTCCGTCCGTCTCTCTTGGTCCCGCGGCAACGAGCGAAATTTTCGGAGAAGAAAAATCGAGTCGCGAGTGATATCGAGTCCCCTCCTCCCCTCCCCGTTCGGATAGAGGTGATCAAATCATCGGACACCGGGATGGAGAAACGGAGAAGGAAAGAAACGTAAACTATTTATCACCGTGGACGAGGAATCACGAGTGGAAAGGGGCGAGAAGAAGGAAGAAGGTTGAGGTTGGCGATCCCAAGGTGGAAGGCGGGAGAGACGCGCGCGAGACGCGTTTTGGACGGAAAAAGGGCCGGCACGGATGCGGGAGCCTATTCGAAGGAGGAAGAAAAGAATACGACACACTGAGTCACGTGCGAACCAGTCCCTCCCACTTGCGGACGCGGTGCCGCGCGGATTTCAGTGCACTGAAAATCGTAACATCGCCAACCTGCGGGAGCTCCGCTTCCTGAAAACTACTCTCGGTACTCGCTGCCACGCGAAAGCTCCTGTAACACGCTCCTCGCGGAACGAGCGGATCCTCGTTCTCCTCCACGTTGCCCACGTTCTTCCTCAAAGCGGAGATCGAGGAAAGGAAGGAAGGAAGGAAAATATCCGTGCGCGAGGGATCGCGAGTGAATCGCGCGAGTGAGTGGACGCGCATCCACGCGCGGTGTACGCGCTTTCTACACGGCTGATACGCGCCTCGCCTCGGCTTCCGAGGAATAAGAAAAATTGTTTTATTCGGTGCGCAGTGGCCGAGTTTAATCATCGGGGAAGCGAGCGCGCGTTTTTCCACGGCACGCGCGGAGGAGACGAGATTCGAGCGACGACTGGCGACGACCACACAGTGTCCCGTCCTCGGCCTGGCGTCGTCGTGTGTGGAACCGCGAACGAGTGTGCGGTCGGGGCGATGCACGCGGAGATCGGTGCTCGCAGTCGGCCGAGACATCTTTGAAAGAAAACGAGAGAGAAAGTGGGAAGAATCGGCGCGCTGTCTACTACCACCGGGAGTGCGCGATTCTTTGCGCGGCTCGCGTCGATAAGCGGAGAGTGCACGAAGAAGAAGAAGAAGAAGAAGAAGAGAAGACCTGTCTCCCTTTTCCTTTTTTCTTTTTTCTCTTTCCTTCGTCCAGGTGTTTCCTCCGATTTTCTCTCTCTCTCTCTCTCTCTCTCTCGCTCTCCCTTTCTTTCTTTCTTTCTTTGTTTCTCTCTCTCTCTCTTCCTCTCTCTCTCTCTCTCTCTCTCTCTATCTCTATCTCTCTGTTTCTCTCGCGCGACAAAACGAGGCGAGCGGAGGCGATTAGAAGAAGAGGTGCGCGAGTGAGTGAAACGAGGGAAACTCGATCGGTTTCGCAAATCAGTGTCGGATGAACTGGAAACACGGATCTTACCGAGTGGAAGAGGATGGTGACGAGGAGAAGGAGGAGGACGACGACGACGACGAAGAAGACGACGAAGACGGCTGCGATCACGGTGACGAGCACGACGGGTATGATCGAGGAAACGATAACGAAGATCGACGAGACACGAGTTTGAATTCAGGTAAAGTTTAGTTGTTAAAATCGTACGAGCGTGATTTTACTAATATCGAGCGTGTCGTATCGACGAGTCGAGTCGACGAATATAATCGCGGAGAAGAGGTTTTCGTCGAACGATCGACGACGAGATTTTTCTTTTTTTTCGTTTTTTTTTTTTCATCTCCTCGATCGATCGTCGCCACTTCTCCGCCGAGATCTAACAACTATATATTAATATTCCTTGCTTGCAGAACTCTCACCTGTACTGTGCACCGCTTTACATCGCAAACTAACAAAATCGAAAGCATCGGAGGAAAATGGCTGAAAACGGACTAGAGATCCCGAAAACTGCTCTCCTTCCCTTCCTTCCTTCCTCTCTTTCTTTCTTCGATACTTTCTTCTCTAATCGCATCCTTTCGCAAGCTTTCTTCGTTGCTTCGCTTCGTTTCTCGCAAAACGCTCTCACGCTTCGTTGCTCCCTGTGCGTAATAACATCGTTGCGAAGAGATTAAAAAGAGGATAAAGTTAAAAATTAGATGATAAAGGATAAAGGAAAAGAAAGGGAGAAAAAGAAATGGGGAAAATGTATAACTCAGGCGGATCCTTCGCGAGGAAAGAAACGGAGAGCGCGAAGAGAAATGTGTTCGTTAAGGAGGATCGCGGAGATTGGCTCGTCGAAAACGCGACGAAACTATCGAGGAGGATCGACCGTGAGCGAGCGATGCCAGGCGATGCTTTTGTGAAACGATCGATCGAATAGGTGGCGGAAGGAGAAAGGGTGGTGCACGGAAAACGGGAGAGAGAGAGAGAGAGAGAGAGAGAGAGAGAGGGAGTAGCGCGATGATTAGTTGCGGTGTTTTTGGAAAAACAATGCGCGGAATTTCACCGGTAATAAATAATAAAAGACCAAATAAAGTGCAACGTCGGGGAGGAGCGAAGTGCAGAGGTCGCGCGTTGTATGAATAAACAACGGGGGAATATGTATTGTCCATTATCGAATAAAAATTAAATAAAGCACGAGAAGAGAGAGAGAGAGAGAGAGAGAGATGGTCGTTCCGAAAATTTGAAACATTCACTCGTCCCTGTAGCCCGTTATACCTTATTCCCCGAGGTGTCGATCGTGGAAATCGAACGATAAAAAAAAAAAGAAAGAAAAAAAGAAAAATCCTGGGGAGGGAGGGGAACGCAAACGCGTTCTCTCCTAGCCCCCTTTCCCTCCCCCTCTCCCTCTACGTCGCGCACGTAAATTTATCCGGCTGGAAACAATCGGCAATGTTCGCGCGTACGAACGGCTTCGAGGCTCCCTCGAACCGACCCTGCCTTCGAATTAAAAAACCCTTAAACAGGTCCGACCTGGTGCCACCTCGAAACTTCAGGTTTGTCTCCTGGAGGAAGCGAAAGAGAAAAACAGAGAGAGAGAGAGAGAGAGAGAGAGAGAGAAGAGGGTAAATGGAAATATCGTAAGAGAGAAATGAATAATTGAAAAAAAGAGAAGAAAAGAAGAGGAAAAAAAAAGGAAAAGAAAGGGAGAGGAGAAGAAGAAGAAAGGAGGAACGGTATCCGAGCAATTGGAGAAGAGATAGGTAGGATGGATCCGTCCATCTCTCTCCCTCTCTCCCTTTTGTTGCTCCCCCCTTCCCTACCTCTGGACACGGGGCATCACCGACCAGGGCTCGCCCTTCCCTCCGGGCCCTGTCCCACCCCCCTTTTTTAAGGCGGCCAGCTGCGGGGTCAGTTTTCGACGGGCGCGCGGCGCATTAAGATGCTACGCTAAAAATTTGTCATCGGCCTCGTGTCATCGTGTCTCGTGACCGCGTGAAAATTCGCTCGCTCGCTCGCTCGCTCGTTCTCCCGCGCGTATGTAGGGTAGAGGACACGGACATAGGACGACGGCAACGACGGAACGGCGGCAACACCACCCCCCCCGAAAATCCCCGATGGAGAGGAACGAAGGACGACGAGGGCCGAAGGAAGAAGCGCGAGAGAGAAGGGAAGAAAAAACAGCGTGGCGCGAGAACAACCGGCGGATTGCTTCTGCAGTGATGAACGCGTGATGGATATTAAATGGGTGCACGGTACGCATCGACAGATTAATTCCATTTCCACCAGGCCCTGCCGCTTTTCGCGAGCAACGTTTTAACAAATACGCGACCGCGCGGCCAACCCAGACGATCCGAAATATTAAACGTTCGTTTGTTTCTCTCTTCCCCCCTTTTTTCCCTTTTTTTTTCTTTCTCTCTCTCTCTTTCTCGCTCTCGTTCCACGTTTCAGCTTTGCTCCGTCGACAAATAATTGGCGGAAAACCGATCGTTCTCGCGACAACACGAAGACGCGCGTGACCTTCTCCTTATCTTTCGCGCCTTTCGTTTTGCCTTTTCTTCTTCCTTTCTTTCCTTTCCTTTTTGAGAGATAAATTTTAAAATAAAAAAAAAAAAAAAAAAAAAAAAAAAAGAAACGATCGTCGAGGGAATTGAAAATCGTTCAGCGACAAAATCATTTTGTCCACCGAGTTGATTTTAAACGGAGAAAATTTCGCGTGGCCCGAATGAAAATTTGTAAAAGCTAGTCAGCGACAGGAAATTTGAACGCTTCTTTGAAACCGTTCGCTCTGTCAATTCTACCCTACCCCTCTCTCGTTTTCCCATGCCAATCGTTTCGCCTCGCGCAAATAATTAATCGCAAATAATACCGGTTTCCGTGAAAGCTGGCAACCAACCTACCCTCTCCCTCCTCTCCCTCCTCCTCCCAAAAAACGCGGGGCTATATCGCCTCCGTTTAATTTCGCTAATTTCTTTTCTCCCGCCTCGCGCGAGCGAAGGGGTTGCAGCCCTTTCGCGTTTCCTTACACTCGTACAGGGCCACGACGCCAAAGGAGACGTTAAAGGGTTCGCGAAACGTTAAAAATCTCTTCGAGGGGTTGCGAGAAGGGTGACTCGAGGGATGACGCATCGAAAAGAAAAAGAAAAAAAAAATAGATAATTATTTTCCACGCGCGAGGCGAACCGCGAACGAGACGTTTCGAATATTTCGAATAGTATTAAATTTTTCACATTTTTTTCTCGCCTTTGATCGACAACGAGAAACATCTAACAACGAGAAACATCTGCGAGTATCGATCCGTGAAAACAAAACGTCTTTGGCGTTGTAAAAGAAGGGGAAAGTAGGGGGGGGGGGGAAAAGAATCGTTCCCTAGAAGAATCCTATTATCGTTACGACTGATCGAATCGTCCAATCATCGCGAGGAAATTGCATCTTCTCGTTCCTTTTTAACCGACAAAAACTCCTTCCCCCATCCCCCCATCATCGTCCGAATTGCCTATAAAAGTTCGGAATAAGACGCCGCTCCGTTGACGGAGATCCCACTGCCATCCCTCGAATCGAAACGGCTCGAGCGATTTGAGTAGTCCGGCGTGTGTAGAAAAGTTCTAAAAAAAAAAAAAAAAAAAAGAAAAAAGGAAAAGTCGAGTATTTCTGATGAAGGAGCAAATATATCGACAGCCTTCGATCGTTTCATTGAGTAGTCGTTCTCGCTTTGTTCGAAGGAAAGAGTCCGAATCATCGGAGCGTTATTGATTAAAACAATCAAAGGGACTCTTCCTTCTCGCGAGAGGCCAAGGGGTTTCGAGAGGAAAACCGATTCGAAGAAGGAAAAGAAGGAAGGGGTGGACTAAAGTCCCAGAGGGGGGGAGACAGAGCGTGCAGGGGGAGAGAGAGAGGGTGGATCTCGAGAGCGGCGTAAAAGATGGCGTAAAAATGGAGGGTGAAAAATACGGGTGGGATGGGGTCACGGGAATCCCCACCCCCGACATTCGCTCGACACTCCTTCTCGGCCGCTCCGGTGGGAATAGCCGTGGTGGTGCCGCGATTCCATTTCCAAATTTCGTATCCCCGAGGCGCGTGCTGCCAACTTTTTAAGATCCGTCATCCGTGTTCCATTAGCGAGGAAGGAAGGGGGCAGGGATTGTTTAGCCGCGTGATTTACAAATGGAAATTGCCTCGCGGAAACCTCGTCTTCTTCCCACCATTTTTCCTCCCTTCTTCCTTAAAAAATTAATACATTCGTTCCCCTCGATCGAACGATTCGACGCGAAAAGAATTAGAGAGAGAGAGAGAGAGAGAGGTTCACGGTTTCTCGAGACAATAGACAAGGAGGAGAAGGAGGAGGAGGAGAGATCGGATCGGGAAAAACGGAAGATTCTAATTTTACAAATATTCGCGAATCCCGAGTAATTCAAGGCTGCGAGCGTGGTGGCTAGCAGGTAGACGGGCAAGGGAGGCGGGAGGGAGGGCAGCGAGTTAAAACAAACATTTTTGCGCGTGCGAGGTTCGGCCATAAAGCTCTGCCCGGCCAAATGCATTGGCCGGCGGTTGCATAACACTCTAGAATAGCTTCGGAAAATGGTGGACCTTCCCTCCCGCGGACACCTTTTTCTTTTCTCGTTCGGACCGAGAAACCGGCCGGTCTCCCTACCTCGTCGCCGAATCCCTACGGCGATTTCCAGCCCCCTCCCCCCTCGCCCCCTCCCCTTTCCTTACGTATCGCGAGACACGTAGAAGAGCGAACGGAAAATTATATATATATATATATATATATATATATATGTAAGCGTCGAACGCGTCGCGCTTCCTCGCGAGGGCATTCCGGCGCGATAAAATAGCCGCTAATTGGGGACAGGTTGTCGAGTTAAGTACGATATTATCACCGGCAACGTTTCAAGGGATGTGATTCACGAGCGCGAACGAAACGCCTAAATATATATACATATATATATATATATATCGGTTAGGGACGATCGAGTGATGCGACGTTGGAAATTCGGTGCCAAAAAGTTGGCTCGAGCCGTATGGATAAATGGAAAAACACGTTACGTTACGTTTTCATTTTTCACGCGCAAAAAGCTCGAAGAGATCCTCCGCCGCCTAGAATTTTTGCAGCGGCGGGCGAAATCTCGCGCGCTACACCCCTCCCCTCTTCGGTATATATATATATATACGCCGTTTCCACGTTTATTTTAAACTTAATCT